CTCAACCATCAGCCGGCGGACCGGCTGGGAGGAATTGCGCCGGTGACAGCGTTTACCGACCTGCCAGCCAAGACACCGCTGGCAGGATTTGTCCACCCGACGTCCAAGGAAGTTTACGTCGCGGACTGGCTTGGCGCCGCCCGTCAGAAACATGTGACGGACCTCCAATTGGCGCTAGAAGAAATACACCGCAACGTGGCGGTGCGAAGCGACAAGTTGCGTCAGCAAGCGCGTGGATGCCGCAACCGAAAGTCCCAAGTCAAGTTTGCGGGTTTTTTGGTTTGCGATTTTCTCGTCAACCGTCCGACAAAATTGTCCCTGCATTGGCGCGGACCCTGCCAAGTGACCAGAGTTATCACAGACCATGTGATGGAGACTTTGCAGCTGGTGCCACCGTACGAAGTCACGGTCCATCATGCATGCCGATTGAAGATGTACCACGAAGGTGGTAGAGAGGTCACCGAAGACCTCGAGGCGCAGATCGCGTTTGGCGATGGCGGATTTCATGTGGAGCGCCTGGATGAAGCGCGCTGCAACACCAAGTTTTGGTGAAGTGGCTTAAACTTGACGATGAAGAATCGTCCTGGGAACCTGCGGCGAATTTGCTGGACGACATTCCAATCATATTTCGCAAGTGGGCGGCGGCGAACAAGGAAGACCCTGCCGTGGCCGCCCTCATCAAAACACTGGACTTTCCGTAGGAGGGGAAGTGTTCTGCAGCGTGCAGAGCAATTGGGTCGCGCGTTAGTTTGACCCATTGCTAACACACACACTCTGTCTGTGTGGCGTGTCAATGGTTCCGATGAGGTACTGAGTACTTTAGTGAATGGTAGTCAGTAGGCGCCTCGTGGCGTGTTTAACCTCACTAATGTCAGTGTGTATATTTGCTGCCTTGACGAAGGTCCCGTGGCCGAAAGCCAAGAAGAAGCAGGAGACAAAACACTGGGTTCTGGAAGACTCAGTCACTCTGTGCATCTTGGGAGTCAATTTCCTCCGGAAGTTGCATTCTCTCGTTGACCTCGGACGGGACCAAGTATGTTCTGAGGGCAACCGAGTGACCCTCCCGTTTATCACCCCGGGAAAGGATGACCTCTCCAGACAGGACTGAACAGTAGCACATCTCCGCTTGGATGACGAGGACACCCCAGGGCGCGCTCCAACAACGGGGGCAGACCCGGGTACAGGACCGTCGACAACCACCACCACTGCCCCGGACCACCTCACCCTGACGGGATCGAAAACCGTTCGCCTACGGAGCCGCTCTCATCACATGATCTGTTGTTTGCTCTCCGAACCAGTCCCGGACGGACACCTGGTCCTCGTCGAACAACTGCAAGGTGCATTCCCGCTACAGGTCGCTCGATCCCTCAACCTTAGCTGGGTCATCCGTGTCTGGATCCAACTCCGGAACCCGACCGATTCGGTTGTCGAGATCCGACCTGCCGATGCCATGGCCACCCTGGTACCGAACTCCATACAAAACCTTGAAACGGCGGACGCCACGGACCAGCACTCGCCCCGGAGTGCGAGCTTTCAGGAGGGGGGAAGGGGCGACGCGGAAATGACAAAAGAATGTCCGGAAGGCGACGTACACCCGGGAGGAGTATGTGCAGCACTCCAGGAAAGCAAGGACAGGTCCCCGATCGACTGGAAGGACTCCAGTCTCAGCCCGCCATAGAAAGAGCTGCTTCGGAAACTACATTTGCATTTTAACCTGTTTGTGACCACGTCGAAGGCTCCGGGACAGAAAGACCTGGTGAAGTGCCATATCAATACGGCCCCATTAAGTCGGCACCCTTCCGGGTTACCCAAAAGGAAGGAGAGATCATGGAAGCCGAGATTCGTCAGTACCTGGAGCTCGGATTGATCCAGAAGTCCCCCAGTCCCTGGGCGAGTCCGGTGTTGATGATTCGAAAACCAGACGGCTCTATCCGTTTCTGCATCGACTACCGGAAGCTCGACGATGTGACTGTCAAAGACTGCTACCCCATGCCCCGAGTGGACGACCTCCATGGACGTCCTCGGAAAATGCAAGTACTTTACAACGATGGATGTGGCCTCGGGGTACTGGAATGTCAGGTTGGCAGAGGACAGTATCCAGAAGGCGGCCTTCACGTGCAAATTTGGCCTGTACGAATGGCTGGTGATGCCGTTTGGACTGTGCAACGCGGTCCCGCAATTCGAGCGCTTGGTGGAGGGAGTGCTTCAGGACTACCTGTGGCGTATATGCCTGGTCTACCTGGACGACGTAATCATCGTCAGCGAAGATTTCGGGACACACCTAGTCCGGATTCAACAGGTCCTGACCTGCCTCCAGGACACCGGATTTAAACTGAACATGTCCAAGTGCCAGTGGGGACGGGACAGGGTCGCTCTCCTGGGGCATACGATAACTCCGGGAGAAATCCTTCCGAACCCAGAGAAGGTCAAGGCCGTCCTGTGAAGCAAACCCTTGTGAAATGTGGCTCAGGTGCGGTCCTTCCTGGGGCTGGCAGGGTACTTTCGAATGATTCATCAAGGGATACGCTACTACCTCCAGACCCCTGGAACAACTCAAGGTGTCCGATACCTTCGAGTGGTCCCCCGAATGTCAACAGGCTCTGGATACCTTAAAAAGAAAGCTGGCCAGCCCTCGGATCTTGGTGTGCCCGGACTTTGATCTCCCGTTCACGATCCTGGTGGACGCCTGTCCAATCACCCTAGGGGCAGTCTTGATGCAGGAACATAGAGGTAGACACCGAGTAATAGCCTACGCGAGCCAACTGCTGGATGCGACTCAGCAGAAATGGATCTCCAAGAAAGATGGAGTCTCTGAGATCGATTGCTATGGATTGGTATGGGCCACTGGCAAGTTCCGGCCTTACATCGATATGCGACATTTCATGGTGTATACGGACCATCCGGCTTTTGTTTGGCCGGATCGAAGTCCGGAAACGGGAAGTTGGTCCAGCCTCTGCACTTGGTATTTTCCAACCAGGAGCCGTTATGGAAGTCGGACGAGTTGCCGCGGTGGCGTCTGAAGCAGAGTGCTTGGTTCATGGCGACTCGGAAGTTGATTGAAGCTCAGCTGCTCTGGGGTAAGAACCGGGATGCCGCGTACCGCGATCGACAGAGAAAAGTGGAATTCAGTCCCACCGACTCCGTATGGTTTACCAACACTTGCATAAGTCCCGGAACCCTGAGGACCTCCGGGTCCAGAAGCTGGCTTACCATTGGCACGGTCCGTACCGGGTGTACTCCAAACAGGGCGACAACACGTACCGGATCTACCTACCGTCCCATCCGAATCGGATAGTGCCCATCAACGTCGATCGCCTAAAAGCATTTCACGGATACAGGTACCGACCCTTCAATGACGAGGTCCCGGAACGGTACATGGGACCCGCAGAATTAGGGACCGCAATTGATGACACGGTCCTGGAAGACGACTTACTGCCCCGATCGAGCTTTGTGGAACGGGTTGACTTCCCTCATAGAGACGTGGCGTACGCAAACTCCCATTCCCCGGTTGTCGGCATACTGGACAAGCGACACGACGACGCCCGGGAAGTGGAGTACTTGGTGCAACACGCTGACGATACGACCCACTGGACACGGCGATCGTGCCTGGTCGATTATAATTCGTTCATCACGGAATACGAGAATGAGTCCCGGACACAGCAGGGACTCCCGGTACTGCGCCGAAGCCCCCGACTCGCCGAGTTGGACGTGGAGGCCGAAGTCCGGGAATACTAGTCGACCACCCAGGAGTCGCTGGGCCCGGGGAAAATCCCCGGGACAAACGACATTTCACGTTATATGGAATACACTTACAAAAAGAAGAAACAATTATATGTCGAGTCGGGAGACTTAGTCGACATCGGCACGGGAGCCTTCGGAGGAATCGTCCAAGACGACGGGGTTCACGGCCAAAGTGGGAATCCCTAGTGGAGCCTGACGAACGGGAATTGGCGGATCGGGAGAGCCAAGAGTCAGGCCCTGTGGAGGCCTCAGACCACGTGCCCACTGAGAACCGACTGGGGGATGCGAATGCGAGCCCACGATGAACGGATAACCCCGCCGACATTTCCTGCGTCCCGAGCTGAGATGGCCTCCTGAATCATCCATCCGATGGCAGACGAGATGGCTTCGCGAGTAGAGACCGCCGGGTTTCCGGGAGCAAAACGCTTCAAGAGTTTAGCGCGCAATGTCCGGCCATGCAACCAAGACAGGACGGACATGAACGGGGGAGCCAATGGTTTCGAACGACTTAAGAAAGGCACGACTGGCCACCTGAGTGATGGCCAGTCGTGCCTTTCTTAGGTAACCGCCTGACCGCCGTGCAAGGTGATTAGATTTCGCAAGGACACTCCCTCTCGAATGAATTCCGGCCAGTAGGAGTGCGGGTAGCACAGAAAGCACAGCAGTTGGACCCCGTACGCCTGGACTACGCGGAACAGGCTCCCGGCAATCCCCAACAAAGGTCCCATGAGAGCCTCGACCTCGCGGTCGGCTGCACCGAAGGACGTCATAAACGAACGGTTCAAATCGAGTGTGCGTACTTCTGCCAAAACGACCGGAGGGCACGGTCCAGTTCTCGCCATTCTGGGAGCTGATGCCACGAAAGCGGAACGAACGACACCAGGGTAGTCGAATACCGTTCCCAGGGCTCCTCGCGACCACGGCGGCATACGCCGAATCGCCCGGGGTGGTAAGGAGGCACCGAGAGGTCCCGCTGCATCAGGGTCGGAACGTCGGTCCTTTTTCGTCAACTGCGTCGACGTATTGGGGGAGGGACGTTTCGAAGGCGGTGTCGACGCCTGGCCTGGAAGATTTCTTGGGACACTGCTCGAGGTGCTTTCGGGGCCAGGAGAGGCCTTACCCGAAGTCCTTGTGGTCTGAACCGCCCCTGAGGCTCCCCCCGAAGCCCCGACGTTGATCCGAGGCTCGAAGACGCGTCCGCGGATTCCGTACCGGTAGTCCCGGGGTTCATAGACGAGCCCGATTTTGTTGAGACCGAAGCATCTGCGGCCCCGGATGACGCACCCGTGACCAAAATCATCGTGCTGGTAGGCCCGGGAGACCCCTGGTATGGCGCCGCTCCTGATTGCGAGGTCAGGGTCGGAAGGGTCGGGACAGCCGGGCTCTGTGACCTTTGGTCCCGGGCCAGGACCGCGGACCAATTATCATACGACACCCCGCAGATTCGGCCCCGAGCGCGTGTGGACGGGGGTTGACGCGTCGGGAAGGCGAATACGGAAAGGTTCTCACAGTTGTCTTCGAAGAGGGCTCGGTCGTCCCGGACCCACGCCTCTAGAAGCTGGTCAAACACCGGCCCGCTCATCACGCGGAAGTGAGCACTGAACCAGTCCAAGAAGGCGGGGACGACGTCCGGGAATCGCTGCGTGGCGGTCGCCAGGGCCCTGGACGCCTCTCGGTGGGCTGCTACTTCGACCTGGTACCTTTCTTCGTCCTCTGCGACTTCCTCCTCGTACGGCCGCTGTTGTCGGTCCAGATCGCGTATTTGATCTGCCATTGAGGATAACTGGGCTTGAATGGCGTTTTCTACCCGAGTCGCCAAGTCTTAGTACTGTTTCGCCTCATCCTGAGCTTCGCGAAGCCGAGTCTGGAGTCCCCGGACTTTGCCCAACAAAGTCACGACCTCCGGAGGCTGTGCGGCATGCGCTCTAGCGACCGGAGCCGCCGCCGGCGCTACAGGAGCCACACAACACTCCTGCGTTCGGACCCGAGCATGAGCAGAGGAGGCTGCCTGATTCGTCCCGGCTAATGCCTCAGTCTCGGTCTCCTGTTCCTGGCGTAGGTAGGTTGTCGATCTCGGTATCGGCTCTTCTGATTAAGGAAGGCTAGCGGTGCTGCACCTCACTCCCGGACCCGAGGGAGGACACAGTCCTGGCGTTCCGTCGTGTCCCCACCTCTTCGCCTTCCCCTTGGATCACCGCTGTTTGTAACCACACCCGGCGTTTTTCGGACATAGTAGCGGCCAGTTGGACGCTCAGACGTTGTTTGGTGAATCCCAGATCATCGGAGACTCGTTCCGGCAAGTGTTTGCTCCAGGTAGGTGCTCAAATCGACAGCTCTACATTACAGGTACGGAGTTCTGTCCGGAGTCCCCGGACGCGCTCTTCCAGCTTGTCGCGCTCGGTGTTGGCCTGGTCCCGTTCCTGTTCGACCTTCTCCCGGAGCGCCATTTCGGCCTCCCGTTCCTCTCGGGTCTGTTTCAGTGCATCTCCAAGGCTCTCGACCTCCTCATTTACTCGCTGAAGGGCCGCCGGCATAGTGTGCGGTCCGTTCGGTAGAAGTCTGGTCAGGACGACTCGGAGTGCCGCCTCGATCCGCACGGTCTGGTCCAGGCGGTCCAGGCGGTCCAGGAGGGCCTGATTGCTGACGGCCGACACGGACACCGCTTCAAACAGCCCCCGGAAGGTGTATTCGAGGTTGGGGGTCGGACGAGTCCCTGCGGACGACGTTCCCGTAGATGCTCCCCGAGCTCCGGACCGGTCGACAAGGTCCGGGTTGGGGTCCGGATCAACATGGGTCGGTGCGATTGGGGACGGGAGCTCGAGCAGCGACTGTATTTGGGCGACGACTTGATCGGTGTGCGCTGCAAAGGTCGGTGTCACCATGTGGTTCATCCGAGCGGCGGGTGCGTCCGAGCCTGCACCGGATGAGCGTGCCGTGTGAGGAGGCGTATGCCCGGCGGAAGCTTTCTTCATTGGGTTGGGCGGATTTTTCTTTGTGTGTTACGGCTTAAGCGGGGGAGAATGTCGCGGGGAAAATTCGGACGTTCCGTGACTACCGTAGCTTGGTGTCCTACGCCCCGCAGTGGAAGGCTTGCTGAACTTGTTTAGTCCCTTGGGTCTGAACACAGGACGACCATTGACGAGACTCTGAGCTATATTATGGAGCTCCCGGACCAGACTCCGGACGTCTTGGACCTGGATTATCCATAAGGCATACTCTTTTTCTTTGAAGCTAAACCAACTAACTCAATTTTACATTTTGCCCTGAACTACGCGTTTGGTGTTTTTCACGCTTACATACGCCGCACCTACCCATTAGATTTGTCGTGAAACCCCGCGACATCAGCATCATCCAAGGCCCCGACGAAGAAGCAATCGACGCCATTTTTTGGTGTCGCCGCCGCCAAGGCCGAACCCGTGACCAAAGCACGTCCTCCTCCTCCGAAAAGCAAGTCCATTGTCGTCGACGACAGCTACGACGATGAGACCCCTTGATTTGTCAAGAAAGCGTTGCACCACAAACGCCTTTGAGTGTGCGACGACGACGACGAGGCCGAGTTTATGCCCACGTCCAAGCCAGTCCAACAGGTGCTGCCGCCACCCGTGAGCCCCCCCCCCACGGATTCCAAGCCGGTCACAACCAGCCTAGAAACGGTGTCGCATCTAGCACCACCAGCGCCCGTACTGTCGTCGCAGCCAAACGAGGTGGCCAATATGGACAAACCAATCCATCACCCCCCGCCCCAGAAGCGGCAAAAAGCAGTCTCCACGACCCGCATCAACAAGCAAGGGTACATGGTGACCGAGACCACGTACGAAGACGTGGAGGACGACGACCTGCCACCTCCGCGGCCTCAAGCCAAAAACTACCGGCGCCCCCGCCCAAGAAGAAACGCGTGGTCAAAGCCTCCGGGTCGGCGAAACAGAGCAACCTCATGGACTTTTTCGGGAAAAAACAAGCAAATCTTGACGTTTCAACATGGATGCATACATCGTTTGGCATATTTCTCACCGGCATGCCCACCATCACCACCAGTGTGTACACAGCGTACTGCAAGAAACCAATTCTAAGCAATCGAATTCTATTTACATAGAGCATTCGGAATGGCTGCACATGGACATACATGGCTAGAACGTATACGAATACCGTAGTACACTTCAGATGTGGGGCTTTACTCGTGGTGAAATGGTGTGGTGGAGTTTTACTTAACTAGTAGGCATTATTGCTGGGTTGTTGCTGCATAGTCGACCAGTAACTGTCATATCACTTCATCATATACAGTGTAAATCAGGCCAACAAGCTGTGGGCAAATTGACTCCCCCTTCTTTTGTATGCTAAATATGGACGCGCTCCAAGGTAGTTCCACCTTAATCCCGTTCGATAAATACATGCTTTTATATATTAAGGGGGGTCACTTTAGAAGAAAAATCAATTTTCATTTTCGATTCTACATTTCACTTTCTGCTTTCGCCACGAAAACCAAAAGCTAATTGAAGTTGGTGGAGTCCACCCATGTAACGATCATCGCAGTCTATTCCATTGCATACAAATACTAATACAAACACCAAAACGTAGCGCCAGTCACCAATTGTCAACCGAGAGGCCAAGCCGCAAGTGACGAAATCAGGTGTCGTAGGGAGCATGAAGCGCGAGCTTAAGAGCATGTCGAGTTACAGTAGGAGCATACCTAACTACATCGTCGTGAAATAAGACGACTGTGCAGTGTGTGTCGTAATTCTGGAAATTGTTGTGTTGTGGTTGGAAAACGTAGTGCAACCTGCACTACAACGATATTCTTACAGCCAATCCCTGTTGAGAGTGTTTTTGATTGGCTAGATAGAATCCATGAATGCGACGGAAGAATCATTCCAACTTCAGGTCACAGAGCAAGTCGGCCGAGTCATTCCACGTACTGCCAGTGTCTACTGTACACCGGACCATCTACGAGCACAAGCACACACATCCAATGTACGATTGCCATTCCGCCTCCACTGTAAACTAATTCAACCTCCTCGTACACGTCAGAGCATGGTCGTCCACTGGCTGCCTGCTCGCTGCTCCGAGCGTTTGCGCTTCTTGAAGACCCGAGGCGTCTTGGAAGGCTCGAGTTGGCGGAGAAGACGGACAAGCGTCGTCATCTTGAGCTGCCCGTCACATCGCACACGTTTCGCTGATGTTTCACCGCAGAGTTGGTCGAAAAGGCCGCGCGCCGTGTCGAATGACGTGGAGACCTCTTGCTCTGAGGGGTTGAGGGCCATGTTCCGACCTGATACTGACACAAAATGGTCCGTTAGTTTCTCGAGGACAAACTTCCACTCGTAAAACATGTTTCTCGCAGCTCGGGTGGCCAAATCTTGGGTATCAATCCTTCGATACGGCATGACTTTTTCGCGAATATTTCCACGCCACCATAATTTCCATGCTGTTGCAGCATCGACACTAGGAAACACAAAATTCTCGGGTAGCTTGTGGAATTTGCCGCCCCAGTGAAATGGCTCATACCCCAGAGGCTGCGAATCAATTGGCAGTTGTTGTGCGGGGGACATGGTGTCATTTGACTGTTGGATGGACGACAAGGCACTGACAATAGACGACTCTAGAACCAATCGTGCAATGTTGCCAGCTGCCACACCATGGTCCTCGGCAATACCCCGCACACCGTCCAAAATCTTGGCAGGCATGGATGTCAAAATCACCTCTTTTTCTTCCAATTTCCTGTACAATTCAACATAAGGAGGGATTCCGCTGGCACGCAAGCATAATGATGTTGAGTCCGATAACACAATGGTAGTAAGACTGGCAAACAGGTCTGGGTTCGTAAACAGCGATGTGGAGAGCAGGGCTTGGTGAGGAGGCAAGGACCCAATCAAAACATTTCGGTGATACACCAAACTCGCCAAAATGAGCTATAAAATTTGAACCAGGTGGATTTCGGAGCAAAGGGACGGAAACATAATCTGGACAGCCTGGCCTACCACCAAGTCGTTACCACCCGAAAAATGTGGAGCAGGATAGCAAAGTCAGCGCTGTTCAGTGGTAGTCCAGCCACACATCGACCAGTGAACTGGTCACCAGCTGCCTTATACCGAAAGTACCTCTCCATGACATTTCCGAGGGACTAGCCACACCGAAGGCACACACTGACATTTGATGGGCCCCCGGTGCTGCCCGATGACACAAAGTAGCAGCACCCTTCCGAATGGAGTGAGTCCCAATGTCCTACTTTGCTTTCGAGCTGCCCCCGCCAACCAACGCAGCAAGTGACTTTCCAAAGCGATCCTAATTAAAAAATCTAACTTGATTGGAGTGTGACATGACTAATCACCTTTTGATTTGAACCAGGGAACAAGCTGGTTGGGGACATCCTACTGTTGCAAGAAAGATAGAGCCCCTGAGCGCCAAAGAGGCATGTCGCCGGCTTGAACGGGTTGGAGTAACAGTGCTTTGGATCCTTGTTTTTCGTTCCTGATTAAATATATGAAATCATGTTCCACAAACATATACCAATTCCAACCTACCTGGTTGGTCTTGGTTTTAAAGAATGTGAAACCAATGATGTCATCCTCACACGTCATGTGATCGAACCTATATGCAAACATAACTATCCTGAGCAAGACGTAGTGTCATACCGGAGTGTCTCTGTTGATTTCGAGCGACACATAAGGTCCACGACAGAACCAGCAACAAATGCGGGAAGCCACCATCGCTGAGTGCCATGCTCTTTGCGCACAGCGACTCGGAAACATCAAACGTCATCAGACGCTTTCCTCAGTACACTTTTTCACCCGTTTGAAGCCCATGGGCCACGCTCTTTCGTAGTCCTATTACAATTGCCATAACTCAAAAGCTCAAAAGTATTAAAATATGTAATACCCGTAAAAATCTCCTTGATGCCATCGCCATATTCCACTGGCAATTGTACACCTTGGTCCTTGTAAAGGCTCTGGATGGCACTGCGATACCCGCTGATTGTTCCCACCTCGACATCCTTGTTTTGGACTGTCCATTCTATGAAGGAGAGGAAGTGCTTTTAGGTGAAGTGATTCAGGTCCAGCGTCGTTCTGTCTCGACTCTCACTACATGGACCCAGAAGGTCGTGCAGTCCTGCCTGTACAACCCATTTCTTGATTTGGTTGATTCCAGATGTGTACTTATCGTTTGTTGGGAGATGAGATTTCGCCGAGCACCGGCTATGGTGAAGTCCTCCTGCCGAGGCATCGCAGTGGCGTCGTTTGGGATCCTTTGAATCGATTCAATTGGCCACATTCATTAGGTTTTTGTGACTTTTCATTGGCTGCTGGTAACATAGTGCAGTGTGCACTACGTTTCCTTCCTACATCGCGATATTATTTTTTCGAATTGTATAACTTAGATATTGTATGTCGTTTCCAATAAAATTAGTATTTTTGTTGCAAACAAATCGAAAATGCAGTACCTCCTGCACTACAATTCCGGTAATTATATCTATACTTCACTGCATTTTCCGGATTATGTATAACGCATGGGCACGGAACCCTGCCTCGCTTGGACATTCCCGAACAAGTCCGTGAGCTTGGCCATCACATTGCAATTCTGCATTCTCGCCTTGTTTGTTATCGTGCCACGCACCATAACAAACGATTAACAATAAGGAAGTTCTGGATATTGTTCTATAACGCATGGGAACGGAACCCTGCCTCGCCTGGACATTCCCGAACAATTCCGTGAGCTTGGCCATCACATTGCAATTCTGCATTCTCGCCTTGTTTGTTATGGTACGTGGCATGACCTACCAGAATAAGTGGGCGCTCAAGTTCGGGATTGAGATCTCCGAGCTCGATCCGATCACCAGCCAGGTCACGTCGTGCATCTGCTTGTTGTGCAGACCTCTCGTCTCCAAACGCTCCACAACTACTGGGATCTTTCCAACGACACACGGTAACGTTCAAGATGTCGGCCAGCTTCATCAACGGCATCATCGGCGAGCTCATGTTCAAGAAGGAGGACGAGGTGGCCGCCGTGGATCAAGAGGAGGACGACGACGTGGACGGCGCAGTGGTCCAGGCCGAGAAGCTGGTTGCCAGGGCCGCCAATTCCAATCGCCGAGCCATGGTGCTGTTCGTCGAGCAGGAGGACGGGTCGTACGTCGCCACGATCAAAACGCCGATGAAGTTCGAGCTATCGATTGGCTACGTCTCCGCTGGCATGTCGTTTCGGCAGACGGCAAAGGCCGTCGGTATGACGCATCGGACCTGCAATATCGCCAAGCTGGCCGGTCTCAACGACACCATCGTGGGTCAGTGGGTCCGCATTCTGGTAGGAGGCTACCTGCAACAGATCGCCAACCTTCTTGCCGACGACGATATCTGGGCGTTCGCGTTGGCGTTCGACGGCGGCACACATCGTGGAACGACGTTCTTCGACGTTCGCATCCGCTTCGGCTTCCGCGGTGTCCTGTACAACATGCACATGATCGCCCTGCCCCAGTTCGAACGCCACACAGCGGCCAACATCGTCAATCTGGTCGTCAAGATCATGAATGCGCTGTATTCGCGTTGGCGTAAGAAGATCATTGGCGTGGCTGCGGACGGCGAGCCGATGACCAGTCGAATTCAAGGCGTTGTCACGAAGATCGTCGAGGAGGGCGAGATTGACTTCATCCGCATATGGTGCATTCCGCATCAGATGGACTTGGTTGTCCGCGCGACGACGGAGGCTGTAGCGATGTGGCAGGTGGGGGTAACGCCTTGCCACCACCTTGCCCGCACCCATCTCCTAAGTACCTGCCTCATGACGCACCCTAGCTAATGCTTGCCTGGGAATGTGTCTCAAGGGCAAGTATGGCTTAGAATCGCTAGCCTAGTGAAGTTCCCCAATGTCTCAACCGCACCCGCATCCATTGTATACAAAAGTGCATATTAGTGTAGAAGTAGTGAAGTAGATTAAGAAGATTTCATAGTGATGAGGATTAAGGAGATCTTTGTAGATCTTCAGTTAATTCATTGTGCATTTTGCCCTCAACTACACACGCTTCCTCCCGCAGTGCTACAATTGGTAGCATTTCCTGGTTCCCTCGCCCAAGCCCCGTTCAACTGCTGTAGCTGTACGTAGCCAGTGATCTTAGACGGTTGTTGTGGTCGTTTGCAGAGTCTACACATCGCCAAAGGTTTTGAAAACGTGGTCTTTGCTACCCGTTACCTGGTGATAGTCTCCGC